TTCCTGAATGTTCCATTTTTCCTTAAAGGTGTTGTAATTCACTTGGAACTGACCAAGCTCAAGAGCAAGTGAGTTAATAATAAATTGAACTAAAAAGGATTCACTCACATCCATTCCCATCGATTTCAATTTGGCTGCCAAATTCTGCATGCCAGTCTTCCGCATGCCAGTCACAATGATCATGAATGATTGTGAACCAATCAAACTTCTTGGTCGTTAAGCTCCACTCTTCAAGGATCCTCATATGGAATTGTCACTATGTCCGATTAGGAATTCAGAATGTACTCCTTCTAGCATTATGTCAGCATTGTCTGTTCTGGGCATTGATGGCTTAACATTTTCAGCCATTGTTATCCTCATTAAGTTCAAGCTCAGCCTATTAGACCGCTTCCAAGCCTCATAATGGGACTTGTCAGCTTTAGTACTGGTCTCTGTAATGGCTACTGGCTTTTCAGAAACTACTAATGCCAGATCTAAATCCAAAACTCCTAACTAATAATGGATTTATTTGGACCAATCAACATAGTTCAATCCATTGAACTTAATCAGCCCAGTGCCCATAGCGAACATGTTAGAAGACGAACATGTTAGAAGAAACTGCAACATTATGCATATACTCATACCTTAATACTTTGAGAAAACATAAATGGATTCAAACAAATAACAATCTTAAATTATGCATTTAAATTCACCTTTGGTAATACTTAAATACATAGCTTTAATCAATAATGATGCCAAGAAGAAAATACTTTAATAGACTTTCATTGATGAGAAGCAACTTGCAAACCTTTATGCAAGTCAAAGAGCAGAGACACGCCCGTGCTTCTCTCTAGAACTCAGGGCATGCCTGTGCTTCATTTCAACACGCCCGTGCTACTCTCTAGAGCTCAGGACATGCCCGTGCTCATTACAGCACAACCCATGCTGCTCTCTGGAGTCCACAGCACGCCCGTGCTCATTACAGCACACCCCGTGCTGCTCTCTGGAGTCCATAACACGCCCGTGCTCATTACAACATGCCCGTGCTCCTTTCTGGAATCTAGTTATGTTTTTACTCCTTAATTATTCAATAATGCTCCATACAATATGCATGTTATCTTTGGATATACACTCATATTTACCAAGTACAATGATAAGTCTCTTTAATTAAGTCTCTTTAAATGCCAATTGATTATAAGTAATGGCCTAGACCTTGGGTAACCTAATAATGTTATAAATCAATGATCTCAATTGTTTCAATTTTAACCTTTCAATGTCATTTTAATCGGCATCACAGCACAACATGAACAACTTTAAAGCGGCAATAATCAAATGTCTAAAGTAATCCAAACAAGGCCACTTTTGGTGAACTAACAAGTTTTTCATTCATTAAACATTGATTTAAATGCAAAAACGTTATGAGAGTTGATTAAAATCTCAAAATTCAAATGACATTATACAATTAGATGTATAAACGTTTCTTTTATATAATGCTCCATACAATATGCATGTTATCTTTGGATATACACTCATATTTACCAAGTACAATGATAAGTCTCTTTAATGCCATTGATTATAAGTAATGGCCTACCTTTGGGTAACCTAATAATGTTATAATCAATGATCTCAATTGTTCAATTTTAACTTTCATGTCATTTAACGGCATCACACAAACATGAACACTTTAAAGCGGCATAATCAAATGTCTAAACTAATCCAAACAAGGCCACTTTGGTGACTAACAAGTTTTTCATTCATTAAACATTGATTTATGCAAAACGTTATGAGATTGAATTAAAATCTCAAAACTTCAATGACATTATACAATTAGATGTCATAACGTTTCTTTATAAATAACACAGCAGAATAATTCATAAATCATAAAGAAAACAACAAGTTTTCAATTTCTATAATTTTGACTTCGTTTATACCACATGTTAAATAAACTTTAATATAGCCTAGATCTTTTATTCATAGAATTTGTTTAATAAGAATACACAATAAACGGAAGCGTACCTTGATCCATAGCTATTGATTACCTCGTTATGGCTATTCGATTCTCACCATAACAGTAGATCTATGTTTCTTCACTCTAACCTTTTGTCCGTAATTTTTCTCTTAATGGTCAGAGAGTTATCAACAGCAATGGGAGGTTTCTTTTCACGTTCTCTCAAACAACCTATTACCAATCTGTGTTTGAGGTAGCCGTATACTCTCATAACCTACGCTGTTGATTTCCTTGAGGAAGGGTATTATTAAAACCCTAACTGGTCATCATCTCATTAATCCCAATAACCATCATCTTGGGCCACCTTAATTAGAATTAGCCATTTAATTACATAGGCCACTTAGATTAAAATAATCTAATACTCTAATCCATAGAAAATTGGTGGCTAAAATCTATGGCTATTAGGTAGCAACTTTGTAACTAGAGATAAACATATCTATTTTTAAAATTATGTGGTAAACCATTGCTAAATTTATCTTGTAGCTAATTCATAGTTAATTCTTGGCTATTTTATTTGATATTTATTTTTTTTATTTGGACTTAGCAAACATGTTATAGATATAAGTTATAAAGCAAATATGGAAAAGAAACTAAACATATAAATTATGTCCCTAATTCAAATATATTTAGTACTTTGATACTAGACATATTTGTAGCTAAGTTAAAAAATTTAAAACATTTTAACTATAGTTATTCAACAAAAGAAGTTCACCAAGAGAAGTCCATTTAACCATCAGGTCCTTGGAAATCATTTACATCTTCATCTATTTTTGATAAACTATTTCAATGGTGAGTGTAAACAAATGTAAGAGACTTCATAGTAATTTTTCAAAAATAGAGAAAGTGTTGCTTAAGATATAATTAGGGATTAAGTACACTTTATTCATTTTTCTATGAATGTAACTTAAAACATAAACTGTAATATAATTTCAAAAACTAGGCTAGAAAAGAATCCCTCTAAAGCATTCATTCATTAATTTCATTGCCTCTTCGTTGTCCTAGGTGTGGATGAAAATCGACTCAACAAGACTTAGAAGCCAGCTTGCCTTAGATGCTTAGACTTATGAGCGTAAAACCAAAACAAAACCGCGAGATGGTTGTCGCAATTAGGAGACGAAATGGATTTCGAAATTTATTAATATTCTTTAAAAAGGGTACTATTAATAATCCTAAAGGTACTGAAACCATTAAAAAAAAGTTGCTGGACAGATAGTTGGTGATCCTTTCCTTCCTTGCCTTCTTGATTTGGCATGTCAAATCAGTCTTTCTCGTCATTGCATCGCCTCTGTGTACTGTACCTCAGTTCAGTGCCTAATTTCTTCTGTAGCACCCTTTATTAGAGGGCAAACTGGTGTCTTGATCGAAGGTAAGCTCCCCTTTCTTTTCGTCATAAGGCGTGCTTTCTCACCACCTAATGATGATCAAATCACGATCACAGGGTAGCCCGCTTCTAATTCCATAAGCAAATTAAATATGAAATTAAGACTCCGAAAATTATTTAGTTCCAGAAAATTTTAAATATTTATGTTATCAGTCACTCTCTTTGTCCATAAATATAAATCGCTTTAAAATTTTTTTTACCCAAAAATGAAAACGTTTTTGAGAATATCAAAGACTAATCGATAATGTTTATTTTATAAATAGGGAAATTAATTATTTGGTTCTTGAGATTTGACGAAATTATTTAAGTAGTCCTTACTTTTTATACGCATATCCAGCACATTTCCGAGATTTGATTCTGTCATTTTAAATAGTCCTTCCGTTTAATTTTAAGGGTTTTAATCGTTAAATTAGATTAAAAAGACTAAATGCTCACAAATACTCTTCTTTTTTTTTTTTTCATTACAATACCGGACCGAATCTCGTATCGAAAAAGCTGTTGCTTTCCGGCCAAATACCAGTGTCCAAAACACTAATAATGATATCACCAACTAAGTTACATTGGGGGAATGTAAAAAACTGAATCATATCCCTAAAATTAAGTGATTAAAATATAGGAGTCATATATAAATATTATTCAAAAAAAAAACTTTGGGGACAAAGATGGCAGAAAATTCATATTTACAAATGCAACAACATTGATCATTGCAGATGAAATAAAGACGAATAATGCAGGTAGAGCAGACCGTGGACGGCAACGATGATGGTGGGTACTCGATCATCAAAAAACAGAAAATTAAAAGAAAAAAGAAAGAAGAAGAAGAAGAAGAAGGTGAAGCTTATCAATGAGAATACAGTTCATTAAAACATGAAAAAAGAGAAAAAAATCGAAGTAAGAGAAAAAAAAAAAAAAAAGAAACGAAGGAAGAAGAAAGAAGATAAGAGAAATACAGTTGCCAAGGGCAACTTTTTTTCATTTCAAAAAACTCATCTCCCCTCCCTCTTACTTTTTGAACTATTTTAACAATAAAAACACAAAAAAACTAGATGAAATAACTATTTAGAACCGCAAAATCAAACCTCAGAAATGTGTTGGATATTCGTTTAAAACACAGGGACTATTTAAATAATTCCGTCAATCCTCAAAGACTAAATCATTAATTTCCGTAATACATACCCCTCATTTTCGGGTGTTTATTTTGTCTAAAATATAAGTCGTTTTGAATATTTTAAACAGTAATAAATGATATTTTTTCAATATTACTCTTATTCACATTAGATATAATAAATATTTTGACAAGTAACTATTGGTCGTAAGATAAAAGAGAATTTGGTCAAATTACCTTTAATTTTGTTATAATATAAGAGAATTAATTATTTCTTTAATTCTTATGCAAATTTTAAACGATTTATTACCTCCATTTCATAATACTTGTCACATTTAAAAAAATAATTTGTTCCAAAATACTTATCGCATCTATGGTTCTAAAGAGTAATAAATTTTTTTTTCATATTTACTTTTTGTATATAACCAATAACTATTGCTTCAATTTAATAATTTTTTTAAAGAATTAATATTAAATTATGGGTAATATAATCGATTTACGTAATAATTTATATAATAGATTATAATTTAAGATTGGGGAGGGACGCTCAGCACGTAGGGTGAAAGAAAGGAGTCAAAGCCGAGTAACATTGCTACCGACAAGTTGTATTATCTCCTATGTGATTTCATACAATTTTCTAATTTAGCGATCCTTCTACCGATTCTATATCTGCAGTTGTAGCCTTAAAACCCCAAATTATCAACTACTGATAAGGGTTCTGTCTAATACATAACAATCTTTAAAAATGGGCATGAACCACGCGGCGGTGGTGAAGGTGGCGTTGGGTTTGATGGGAATCTGCTTGGCTGGATACATATTAGGACCGCCTCTCTACTGGCATTTTAAGGAAGGTTTAGCCGCCGTTAGCCACTCTTCTTCCACTTGCTCTCCTTGCGTTTGCGATTGCACTTCTCAGCCTCTTCTCTCCATTCCTCCAGGTCAATTCTTTTAGATCTGCCTAGATCTTGTTTCTTTTCTTCTTTCGTTTTATCTAGCATTACAAAATTTAGCTTTCAATGTTGGATTCGCTTTCTGTTTGTCATTGTTATGTAGAAAAAATGGCAAATCAGTATATCTCATATGATATTGAGGAGTATTGAGGAGAATTACTGGCAATTATTGTTATTATAGAGCCAAATATTGAGGATTGACTGAATTATTAAACTAGATCCACGCTCAGACATGTTGAAAACCTGTACATAATATTATTACCTGGGTGAATCGTAGTGTATGATAGTTTACTTACTTGGTGAAGTGCTTGTGAATGATTTTAGAGCCCTGGCTTGTACAGTTGTTCATTTGTATAGAAGTGATTATAGTCATTGATTTGCTTAAAATAGCTGCCTTTTCTGATTTTTTTTTTTTCTACTACGTTTCTTGAGAATCTTTGTATAGTTTTGCTCTTGTAAGCAAAGGTTTTTAATCATAGCACTTTCTTGAAACATTTTGTGCATTGGGTGTTGATATGATGATTCAGATCTGTAGATGATTTTCATCTCCATAAAGCTTTAATTTGTTTGTGGACATGTTGCTCAAACGGTTTTGATTCATAACAAGATGAAATTTATTTTCTGATGCCTATCTTTTTATGTTACAGATGAAGGTATCTGAGTGTGCATGCGCGCTCTTATACTCCTATATATAATTGTATATAATCGTGTATGTATGTTTTGATTAGGTTCTTGGTGTAGCATTATATTATTGTAGCTTCATCTGGATAATATGTCCGCTGTATGCTGCTGCCACTTAGTTGTTTACATGTCCAAACAAGTTGACCAATTTGTTTGATTTGAAGTTCTCTCTTATGTGTTTGATTAATTTGATAAGCAATTTCATTTATGCTTAAAGTTCTCCTTTTGTTTTTCGTGCAGGATTGAGCAATACTTCTCTTGCAGGTTAGTTTACCTGTCATGGGCCGATTTTAAATGGGATTAAAATTCAATTTTGAGGCCAGAACTGTATAACTTGAGCATTTTCCTTTTCTTTGGTCCTTCTATGTGCATGGATTGAAATAGAAATGCATGAAACATAATTACTCTTTCCTTGCAGTAAATACTTTGTTCTTTTCTGTTAATATATCATCCATATCTTTAGTTATAAGTCATTTTGTTTGATGAAAAAATTATGTTAGTCTCCTTCAAACTTAAGCGCAAATGTGGAGTCGAAGAGATCCATGTGCATGTGAATAAAGCAGATAAATTTGTGTTAAACTTACGAATGGCGGCCCATGCATACTGATTTTCTTCTTTTTTGTTTTGCTACGCATCATATATCGGAAGAATTATTGGCTTTTAAAGAACAGTACTCAGTTGACCAAATAGATTAAATCAATATATGCATGTTATTTTGATCCTTCTGCATAGATCCTTTATACACAAATTTGAAAGGAAAGATATAGTCATGCTGAATCCCTGGGCAAAAGGGTAAGAGACAATGTATTGTTTCAAAGTAAATTATGTCTCCTTACATGCGCATACACTTCAAAGAAACAACTCAATTTTCTCAAATCAGTTAAGTCCAGTGAAACTAATTTGCTTTTTTTTTTTTTTTTTAATGTGTGTGTGGGGGGGTGGATGTGCAGTTGTATAAATTCCCATTCTGTTTGTGGCAAAAACTTTTGCAATCAAACAACTTATTCATAGTAGATTTCGTGTTTCAACTAGAAATGCTCTGATATGATGCTTTCTGTAACTTTCTTTTCAAACTTCAAATATGCCTAACTCAAGATTTAATAATAGGCATAGACATAATTGCAGTCTGGGATCTAGGTTTCTTATTTCAGTTGGCATTTACTCTGTAGATTGTGCAAAGCATGATCCAGAAGTGAGCGAAGATACAGAAAAGAATTTTGCGGATCTATTGACAGAGGAACTGAAGCTGCGGGAGGCTGAAGCTTTGGAGAGTCAACGGCGGGCTGACATGGCGCTACTTGAGGCTAAGAAGATGACGTCTCAGTATCAAAAAGAAGCAGACAAATGCAATTCCGGGATGGAAACTTGTGAAGAAGCAAGGGAGAAAGCTGAAGCTGCATTAGCATCCCAAAAGAAATTGACTGCATTGTGGGAGTTGAGAGCTCGTCAAAGAGGATGGAAAGAAGGTATGACCAAATCTCGTGCTCAGGGAAAAGTCGAGTCCATGTAGTGGCTGAACCATTATGGCATGATATTATGCATCCTCACTGTACTCTGCAATGCTAGGTATGATGAAAGTTCGTAGGTACTAGGGTAAAGTTTGGCATGATACAAATCTGATTTATGTCTCAGTTTCACGGTCAAGTATAGATACCTTTGTTCTTAGGGAGGAGCCTTTTGAAGCAAACAGCACTTGTAAAAAAAATTGCAAAATGTGTGTTTTTCTACTATATTGATCTTTATCATATAAAACTCTGGCAATAGGAAGCTACTTATTTTAGTCGCAAATACAATGTATTCGCAATATTTGATTACTATTGTGGAAGCAAAAAAACAATTTTTGATTGGACATTACAAGGCAATACTAAAAAAAAGGTTTGCTTTGTCGAAACTAAAAATAAATTCGTTGTAGTTCTTTTTACTTGTTAAGTGTAATTCCTTGTAATTCTTTTTATAAAAATTCATATACTAGTCAAGTGTAAATGTCTTGTTTTTATGTTATTGTCCTCAGAAATCAATTTCTGTGGACATTCTCAAGTCAACTTAACCAAACGTTGACCTTTTCATTAGCTAGCTGTGTCTTTATTTCTTTATTTTAAGGTCTATAAAGTGATCCTTGAAGACTAAATAAAATAATAAAATAATTATTAAGTGTTGAAATTTACTTTTCTATTTTATATATATCTGTGTATGTATATCATCTTTTGAGGAGTAAATAAAATAAAAAAATAAATTATAAAAAGTTGCAACCTATTAGTATTCAGCTAATCAAACCATTGGTGCATTATTAAATTGACTCATTAAGATATATATTATTAAATCTTTCTTAAGCCTGCATGATGTTACTAGCTTGTCATCCTTCCCACGCTTGTGATATTCTCCTTGCGATTTAAGGTGATGTTGGATAATGGCTGAACGCCATTTTTGCTATTTTTAATATATATAAGTAATATAGTGTTTTAATTAATTTTTAGAGATTAAGATATCGTTAAATTAATTCGTGTAATGTTTAACGGTTTATGAAAAAATATTAAAACAGCTAATAATTAAACGCTACTAAAACAAATAATAACTATCGAAAAGCTAATTTTATTAAGCAGTACGGTGAATTCTGCCAACTGCCATTTTCTGCTTATTGTTCGTCGAGATCAATTGATTGTTTCCTACTTACTCTCTGTAGGGTCAAATGTATAAATTTATTGTCTTTTTTTTTTTATAAAAATTTTATAGCACCCTAAATTTTATGAAGACTTATCATGTATTTAAGTTAAGAATTTTAATAATATTACACACTTTTATATATTATTAATGATTTTTAGAATTTTAAGTTTTTATATATAAAATATTAATTTGATACGTGGTTGGTATAATTTTTGAAATAATCATTTTCACATATTTTAAATATTCAATTCAATTGAAATATTTATATATCAAGTTGAAGTTTTAATAATTGCAATTTCATAAATTGAAGGTTGTATAAAATTTTTTGTGAAAATTACATAGCTAAATCTATGTATTTAGCTCCTTTCTAGCTCACGATTTCTCTAGTCTTATCAAACTAATGTTCACTTGTCCATTGTCAACATTTTCCATCAATTTCATATTGTTAGACCATAATCAGTGTAACTTCATTCAGACATACGATAAATAAGATATGATGACGCAAAATTTAAATTCACAATTTAAACAAGTTTTTAAAAAGTTAGTCTAAATACAAATAGTTACTCAAAAAACTCAAAAAAAAAAAAAAATAATAATAATAAATTAGTGGTTTTAGTTATTTTGGTATTTTAAACCATTATAATTTAGTGAAAATAACAAAATCATAGTTTCGTCCAATTCTACTTTCTAATTTCCTACACATTATTCTATTTTGAAAAAATAATTCACTCTTCTTCTAAAAACATACCAATGATTATAGCCCAAGCTAGACCTTAAAATTAGGGATGGACTAAAAAACATTTCAAAGGTTAAAAGCCAAAGTGAAGAAAAAAAAAAAAAAACTTTCACCGTTGTATAAAGCAAATTAAAAAAAAAAAATTCCGGAGGTCACAGGCTTAATTCCCCCGGTCCTTCGTTCCATCACTGCCAATAATAGAACAAACTTAATATTTTCATAAAAAATTTTAGATTCAAATTTAGGTAATTTTCCTCGTTCTAACTAACCCAAAACATAATGCACTAATATGGCCTTAATCTAATAAGGCAACAAACATTTAATGTGCAAACAACAACACAACGCCAATAACATGGTGCAGGACCTTCAACCACCTCTTTTGTTTCCTCCTCTCTTCTTCGTTGATCTTTATTTTCCTCGGTAAACTCAAATCACATGTTGAATGTGATCTGGTATTTGTAGATCATGCTTTTGAAAAAAATTATAGGACAAGGGTTTTTGCAAAAGTAAAAGTAAAATGCAGTTTAAATAACACACAATTTCATAATGTATTACAATAAACTTCTCTCCACTTACCCCATATCCTCGACACCCAAAGAATCAACATCCAGAATTTAATTCTATGTATAATATCTTCAATCGATCAGTTTATCCACAGTCGCACTCTGGAATTGGGTAAGGGGACAATACATGTAAGCAACCTAGATTTGAAGTGTAATGACCCAATCTCTTCTATTTCTGGCAAGCTTCTTAATCGCTCACAAATGTCGCATTTTCAACTTGATTCAAGTTGGAGGATTTGATTTTGTTAAGCAAAGGCGAGAGATTAATAGTATCTTTGGGATCGATTTTGGAGATAATTGGGAGAGGACAAAACTATTTCTCTCTCTTCAAGTCAAAATTTAATTGTTGCTTAACAAACAGTGGACAATTGACGTGACTTAGACAATAAGCTCTCACACTCAAATTTGTGATTTAGTTCGAGTCCTCCTTATTCAATGTAGCCAAGGCATAGTTACTGAAGAATTTTGAAGTTCAGGGTTATCATAAAACCTTGAAAAATTCAGGGACCATTAAGAGAAATAACGATAGTTCATGAGCCAAATTATGCATTATACTTATGGTTTTGATTTTTACTAAGAACCAAATTGGAACTGAACTGAAACCGTATTTGATCTGAGAAAAAAGCTTATAGAAGAAAAATTGCATATCAAAATTAAAAATTGAGTGATTTTATAAATACACACACTAATTAGCCATATGTGTCATTTTATATATTTATTTAAAATTATAATCAATTAATTATATAAATTCATTAGTATTGTAATAGTGTTTTAATTATAGTTTTCTAGTCATAGTTTGTATTCTTATTATTGTGAATTCTATAATTAAAACTATTCTAATTATAATTAAAATTTTAATAGCATTATAATTTATAAACGTTTCTAATTATATGTGTACTTAGTGTTATATCTAATATTATTATAACAAATAGTTTTAGCAATATTATAATTATTGTCTTTCTAATATTTAGTAAGAATAATGTATTATTAATAATAATATATTCCATTCGCCTCATTTTATTTGCATAGTTTGACAAAACACGCATAATGAATAAAAATTATTTTGCCCTTTTTTACTCTTAACTCATTAAGATATTAATAAAAGTCGTTCATTTAATAAACAATGATAAAAGTTATTATGAAAAAAATAATTATTATTATTGGAAAAAAATAATTATTAAATATTAAGATATTAATAAAAGTCGTTCATTTAATAAACAATGATAAAAGTTATTATGAAAAAAATAATTATTTAAATATATAAATTTAGAGACCTTGCAAACATTTTGAAACATCTAAAAAAAGATTAACAAGTAAACAAAATGATACGGAGGGAGTAATTACTAATAATTGTAATTAATAATTAATCCTTATTAGTAATCAAAGTTACGTAATTTTGGTACTTAAATTTAAGTTAATCAACAATAAAACTAGGTCACCTTATTTAACACATATAGATTTTAATTTATAAAATTTTCATATTTATTATTTAAAACAAAAAATTATTAATACTTATCAATTATTAGTGATGATTTAGTATTTTATTGTAATTTTATACTATTATTATAATTATCAACTATTGTAATTCTAGTTTAATATTAAAGTTCTTTTAATTTAAATAAATATGCTATCAATACGGAGAATAATGCATTAATTTTTAACGGGAGAACTAGAATTGAAACTATAACCAGAATCGATAAATCATAAATAAAGAATTGAAGAATCAAACCAGAATTGAATCGAATTACGATTCGATTCTAGTTTTGATTTCTAAGTCATATGGTTTCGGTATCAAAAGTAAGAAGAACAGAATTATGATTTTGGTTTCAGTTCTTTTCCAGAACCAAATCACAATTGAAACCGCATAGCCTTGCATAGTAGTGTATGTCACCAAACTATGAGCACTATATAGTAATTACATTTAGGAAGAGCGAACGGTTTGCCTCTTAAAATGTGACAGAATTTTATGTAAGGACTAAATAATATTCTGAGTTTTAAAATTAAAGTCCTTACTGACCAAACCTAGAGAATGTGGACTTATCGGTGGCCATACACACAATCAGTCCTTATTTATGTATTCTAAATTACAACATTAACATTAACATCATGTACGAGCTTTTTGAACGGCTGTGATTGAAGAAGAATCACCAGTAACAGAATCATACCTTCTAAACATGTGGGCCACAATCAAACTTGCACTGAGAGTCACATAATCCTTAGCAGCACACTGTTTATTTGACTCACTGGGTGACCCGGTCTGTGGTCCATTTGACCAATACAAGTAATTCAATAACTCCTTACCCGAACCCATGAACCGATCCGGCTTAAAATTCTCTGGGTCATCAAAAATCTTGGAATCTTGCATCGCCAACTTTTGATACCCACACAATAATTCACCCTTTTTAACCTCAAACATCGAGTCATGTGAACTCAGTTTAAAGTCTTTTCTAGCTCTTGCGTACTGGAGAGGAACAGGTGGGTTGAGTCTAAGTGTCTCATAAACTACAGATTGAATGAGCGGCATGTCGTTTACTGAGTCAAACGTTAAACTCGAGCCGCCGTTTTCTCTGGCTTCCTTACGTAGTTTTTCTTGTAAGCCAGTAGTGTCGCTTGCTATTACGTTTATTAGAGTAGGTATGAACACGGAGAAGCCACCATATGCATTGAAACCGAGTACAAAGAGGAGGTTGTGAATCGTTTCTTCTTCCCTCAGTCCAAACTCAGTTTCAGCTCGTCGTATCACTTCTTGACCTATTTGAACAAAAGAAATAGAAGTTGACTACATTATCATATTTTACAATACATAAATTACATATTTTTTTAATTGCATTTATGAAAAAAAGAAATATAAGTCACAGAAGTTCTATTTCTATTTTCAAAATCTCTATATTTTATGGTCATCCATCTATATGATTTTTCTATTAAATTACAAATGTCAATCATATCCTTAATTCAGCTATAAATTTTCTTTTTCAACCATCAAATACAATGAGCCCCCAAATTATAATTTGCTCTCTCTTATTTGTTCCACCATAAATCCAATATAATTCAAAATCGTGAATTTAAATGCATAAATCTAACAGGAAGAATATATAGTTGGAAAGTCATAAATCATCAGGACCATGAAATTAATTTTTAAAAATAAAATTTCTTACTAATATAGGGCTACTTTGACATTCTCATTGCTAATAGTAGATTTCTTAAATGTTAAGAAGAATTATTAATTTCTTATAGCCCGACTAGTAGACTCTTCTAATATTATTTTGGCCTAATAAGGTTGTCTGTTTCAAAGCTACTTGAATTGTAAAATATTTTTAAAAGTTAGACAATTGCACCCCCAATGTAGAGATTTGTTCGCAATTACATCCTATTTCTGTTGGTATGAATAAGAAATTAATTTTCTTCATTTTAATTTTTTTATATTCTCTCCCGAAGTCTTTGTCTTCCCCAACCATCCACTTCTCTACCTCCACCACTCACATTTTTTGTGAATAAGGGCATATTCGATAATATTAATTGTTTTAATATTTGTTAGCAGTTGTAATAGTTATTAGTTGTTCTATTAGCGGTTAGTTGTTAGCTATTAGTTGTTTATATAACAGTTTAAATTAGAAGTATTCAGTAAAATAGTTGTTTAATTTAAAATAATAAAAAACGACATTAACTATTTAATTAACTGAATTAGGAGAAAAAATAATGGATATAATTATCAAAAAATAATTAATTAATTTCTGTGAAACTCTAGATGTTAGAGTGTAACATTTCATAAAAAGATCATTCAATTATTAAAAGCTATATTACCAAACTGTACAATTAATAGAGATAGAATTGACTTTGTCAAAACGCTAAAAGCTAGCTCAAAAACTATTACCTAACATGACCTAAATATTTAGTAATTAAGTATATTTAATGGAATTTTTATCGAAATATAAAACATAAATTATTTTTATCTTATCTTTTCATTCAATTCATTTTTCTAGATTATCATTATTCTATTTTATCTCTTATTTTTTATTAATGGAAAATTATAACGGTAACCCTACATTTTGAGAAAAAAACCCATTTACTCTCGTATTTTTAGTTTGTTACACTATTTTGCCCTTCCTTCCAATATTTACGATTTTAAAATAAAAGTGAAAAGAAAACCTAACGGTGTAAAGAGAGAAATTTTTTTTCACCAAAATATCCTACTCTTCTCCCTCTCTTTCTCTTCTAGCAGTCCTGCAGTTTCAAGAACGCTACAACTCTCAAATATCAAACCTTATGTTAAACTCTTCTCCTTCATGTATATATATGGGTAAAATAAGCTCATATCTGATGGTGGAAGAGGGAAGAAAAGGTCAAGAATCAATTTTTATTAGTGGTTGGTTTCATTGAACTATGGCTGTAATTGGTGCTGCAACAAACAACGACAGCTTATGCTCTTCCTTTCCATTGGAGAAATGGTTTGAAAAAACAGAAAAATTGAGTGAGGGGTTTAGCTTAGCAGGTCAAAGAGCTAGTCTTTTTTTGCCGCCGACAATCAACTGATGTTGGCTGAAAATGAAAGTTGTTGCAGCTATGTAAATACAAAACCCTAACTATAGCTTTTCATAAACGGCTTGATGAAATAGAAATTAGCTCAGGTAATATGATCGAAAGGAAAAAGAAATTATGTAGAACTTATTTAAAGTGTGGATCACCAAAGAAGAATGGAAAGGAGCTGAGGTGATCGGAAATAGAGTTGCAAGTTGTAGCTTTTAATTAGGGTCATTAATATCATTTCACAGTAATTTAACATCTTAAATTGCAAAAGTAGACAGAAGGGGTACAAGAGTATTATGGATTGCAAATACTAGAATATGACAATTTATTTTTAAAAATAAAGGGTATAGTAATTTTTTTTTTAATTTTTAAAAATAAAGTGGTATAGTATTTTTTTTTTTTTTTTTTTTTTTAATTTTAAAAAATAAAGTGGATATGAGTATTTTTTGTTTTTTTTTTTTTTTTTTTTTTTTTTTTTTTTTTTTGCAAAACATAAGGTCATGATTATAATTTTTCCTTTGATTAATTTTTTTTTTCATAATATAAAAGGAAAGAAATTTTTAAGATTTCTGTTTAAAGAAGAAGAGAAACACTTATTGATAAAAAATAATTGTAGACGTGATAACAGAAAAACCATCAAATTTTAAAAACTAACGTATGATTATCCCATGTATTAATTAAGCTAATTTGAATATTTATTTCCGTAATTTACTCAAAAGAAAAAAGTGAGTCAGTGAAGATACCTTCTTTTTTGATGAATTCTGTTAACTTCTTGTAATCTCCACTAACAAGGAAAAAAGGGTAGGTAAAAGAGTGGAGAAAGATTTCGGTTAGAGGCTGGAAGGCAGTGATGGGGACGGTGGGGAGGAGTTGGACGACCAGCCACCGATCCAGCATGGCATAGCCGGACTTCTCAATTTCCGGCGATTTTGCTGGGTCCGCCCCGGCAAGGGATTTGCTTAGGAACTTGAAAATGCATTGCTGAAGAGGGAATAGGTAACTTGCTTTGCCTTTTTCTGATATTTCCTTGTCCACGGTATCCCAAAGCGTATCAAGGTTGGTTAGAAGCTCGGTTAGCCATACCTTAGAGCTTCGTTTCAAGACGTCCATGGCAAAGCGTTTTACCTGTAAAAATGCATTGCAAACTTGTAATTCAAATTTTAATATATACTTTCAGATGATTGTTGATTAAGTGCGTCATTGACATGAATAATAAGTTTCATACAATTTTTATATTTATTTAGATAAATATTTATTTGAATTAAAATTGAATAGTTTTTTTGAGTGAGAAGGGAGATTCCATAGTTATCTATTATCGTACCATATGTATATTTACTATTAGGCTATGACTTTACGTGCAATTAGAATACAGTTTTTTATTTTATGAAAGTGTTAGAATTGAGTATTTAAATCGGTGGTTTAACATAACAATTATAAAAACTACGATTTAATGATTTTAATGCACTAAATGGCGGTCTTATTGCGTTAACTTGTCATGCTGCGCCGCAGCAATGAGAGAACCAACTATTTTAATATATAAAAATTAATTATATATTTTGATTCAGTTGATTTTTCTTTTTCATAAAAAAATAAATCAAATTAAAATAATTAAAATTAATAAAATATAAAGATCTATCTAAACCAAATTAGGAGGAAAAAAAATACAGAAAGCATCATTTTGAATTTGAGCCCAATTCGGCATAGCTTTTTTTTCTTTTTCTTTTTTTTTTTTTTTTTTTTTTTTCTGTTTTCTTTTTTTTGTTTTTTTTTTTCAGTTTCAGATTCAGACTTTTTTTTTTTTTTTTTTTTTCAGTTTCAGATTCAGACTCTTTACTTTAGATTTGGGACCTAAATATATAAACATATGGACTTGCTGGGAGTGAGGTGTCTATGGGTTGATTCAGTTTTGAACCGAATTGAATCAATCTAAAAACTGAAATACGAAGAAGCTAGATAACTGAATCAATTCAATTTGGTTACTCGTCTTAATTCAACTATTTTGGATGGAAAAAATTTTGGTTCAACCATACCTAAAGGTGAACAAATGATAGGTTCGATTTAAACCGAGCCGAATCAAGAACAAAAAAATTGAAACTGAAGTTTCTGGACAACAGTTTGAACTAAATCGACTCGAATCGAACTAATAGGTTAGGTCAGTTTTTGCCATGTCAATTCGATTTTAAGTCAAACCAACAAATTTCTATGAAACCAACTCGAATCAGATATTGAATTTGATTAATCTGACTAAATCAATAAACCAAACCTCCCTTAAGTAGCTAACCGGATCGAAATGGTCACTTCAGTTTTCGGTTCAATCGGATCAGTGGTTTTGTACACCCCTAATCATATCTACCAAAAACTAAAACTTACGGCCAATAGATGTAGTTTCATTGATCTTCTTACTAGGAATGGAAGGTTTTGAATTTGATTTCTCCTGACCATAAGAGATTTCTTTAATTTGATAAGAATTTCACCAATTTGATAAACTAATGGAAGAGCTATCCTACGTTGTGTAGCCTATCATGCGATTTCAGCCTAATAGGCCTCAAACGAATAAAAAAAATTGAATCGTACAAAACTTAAATCAAATCAGTCATATCCATTTAATTTTTCGGTTAGTTTCAGCTAATACTCACCTCTTGCTACAAGAGTATATAGAAATGACAAATCAACCCGACTTGATGGGTATGCACTTGACTCAAACCCTGTCAATTCCAAATGTTATGATTTTGACTGGATTTGGCTAAAACCCTAAAGTTTTATTTTGGGTGTGAGTAGGATATAGGTATTGCTATTAAAATCCAAACGTGATCCGAACTTTTGGGAAGAGTAAAACCCAAACCCGAAATTCAAACATCAATATGTTTGAGAATTTATTATTTTTTAAATTATAGTATAAAATTTTTAATAAATTAAGGTACTTGCAATAAAATATTATTAAGGAAAAAAATAAATTTATCCTAAATTATAGTCAAATTAACTCATGAGAACTTCTATTTTCAAAAACTAGTACAAAACCAATGATTGTTGACTAAAAAAAAAAAATTATGATTCTGTTAACACGTTGCCCTATCTTTCAAAATAGTTTCTTTTAATTGTCAGCTGACTGACAAATTGATTTCTAAGTTATAAATAAATCAACTATAAGATCCTTAACTTGCGACTTTCACTAACATTTTGATCATCTCCTTATGATTTCCATTAACACTTTGGTCTTTCTATTTTCGAAGGAATGACCAAAGTGTTAATAGAATCATAATTTAAAAATCTCATAATTAGTTTTTGAAAATAGAGGTTTTTATACGTTAATTTGATTATAACTTAGGGACCAATTTATTTTTTTCCCATATTTATATAAATAACAACTTGATTTTTATTTTAATGTGGTGCTATGCAAACAACTTCATCGTAGTTTCATATATTTAAATTGGTGAAATTTTTAAATTTTTAAAATTTAAAATTCAATTTCTAGTATTTGATTTAATTTTTTTGAATAAACAGAAGAGTATTAAGCCATTAGACAGCAACCCAGGCCACAAACCCCTACCACATTAGCATCCAAAATCTGTCTTGCTTGAGGAGGAATAGCTAGTATTTGATTTAAATTTGAATTTCATATAATAAGTAAAAATAATGATGATGATAATAGTGATTTAGAGTATTCAGGTAATAATATTTTTATGTTTATTGATGTTATATGAGTTCCTTTTTTTTATACTTGGGAGGTCCAATGGACTGGAGTAATATTATGAACTATAAAATAAAGATAACCCTTTTTTTTTTAAATAACATTTACCAGCTTAGTGATAATTTCTATAATAGAAAAGACTTAAATTCGAGACATCTCACTCTCCACATGTTTTATAAAAACATCAAAAGAGACCAGGAGCGGAGCTAAAATAAAAAATTAGGAAGTAAAATCACATAGAATCTAGTTAGCTGAAGATTGTACAAAAATTAAGGGTGCAAAGTGGTTGAGAGGATGCCAAAATGACTAGATGGTTTGGAGTTTGAGACATATTAATGTAAAAATCAAAAGTTTTTTTTTTTTTTTTTTTTTCAAAAGTTTTTTTTTTTTTTTTTTTTTGTAGAAGAGGGGGGCAACTGCACCCCCTCCAATAACATGTATTTTCCACCCATAGAAGATTTTTTTTTTTTTTTTTTTGTAGAAGAGGGGGCAACTGCACCCCCTCCCAATACATGTATTTCCACCCATAGAAGAGACCATTAATTATTCTATATGAGTCTTTTAATTATTTTATTAATTGATGTTTGTTGTAATTGCAGTGAGAGAGTCTACTGTTGTATTATCTTGAATGAAACATTATAATAAAAAGAGCATTAATTTATCATTGTTTGAATATCTAATTATGTATTAATTTATTTTTATATTTTTTATGTATTATACAAATCATTTGGATGAATATTTTTATTTTTTTATTTTATTTTTAATTTAATATAATTTAATTTTTAAACAATGTGGGTATGTGAGTAAATAGATATCCGGAAATAATGGATATCTATAATATCTGCAGATAATAGCAACTAAACTAAATCGGCCGGTCTGACATGTTTAACCTGTGGTTGGATCTGATTGGTCTGACATGTTTAACCTGTGGTTGGATCTGAATTAAATACTTAAAATCGACGATTTCTATTTCTATTATCGTGGTATTTGTATGCACGTCTTCCTATACATATTTCTATGTACATTCAATCAAATCAGTAAATTGCTATTAATAAAATTTGGATAATTTGATAAGTTTGATTGAAGATAAAATTAAATTAAAAAGAAAAATTAAAAGGAAAAAAATAAAAAAGAATAACGCATGTATAATATGCTCTCAGTTCATGCTCATTAGTAATGTCAATTAATTCAGAAATCTCACGTCACATTTTCCAGTGTGCTACCCATATTTATTATTTATTCATTATATTTTATGCTTATTATTATAGTATATTTCTTAAGCTATCATGGAGTCAAATTTAAATAATTGTATTAGAATCCTTGTTGCATGGAGTTGCAGGTTTAAATTTTAATAATTAAATACATAATCTCGTGCTTATATATTTATTGAAAAAAATTTATTAATGACATTTCATATTATGTCTTAAAAAATTATTTGGTATTTATAGACCTTTTATAAAATTTATTTAATATTTATAAATTCTATATTTTTACTTATAAAAACATATATAAAAATATGGTTCAACCATTTTGAATCTTTTGATTCAATAATTCCTGCCTCCATGGGTTAGTTCTCAAAATATTGGATAATAGGTGTACATGATCCTATTGAATTTGGAGATGGATGTAACACTTCCCACCCAATAAAGTATTGGGTGGGATAGAACATTGAGGATGTGACAGGGTTTCAGGAAAGACATGACACGACGTGCAAACTCATGGAAGTGGATCTTTTGGAGATATCAAAGATTCCATTCGTTAAAAATGCTCACGTCTACTAGATAGGACAGAGCCAAAAAATTTAGTCAGGATTGACAAATTTATTCTCAAATTTAATACAATAAATTTTATTTGTCTACCTTTTAATTTAGAAATTACAAATTTTAAATTGGTTTGATATTTTGAACGCTAAAAAAATGTTATTCAATTTTCAAATATATTGATCAACAATTTTTCTTAAATTTTATTTCCCAACCTTATATAGTAAAATTCATACTTATAATTTTTTATTATTGAATAATCTATGTAATGACTAATTGAAAGATAATCATTCATAAAATAAAAGAAAAAAATTTAAATTGATATGTTTAATATGTAAATTAAAAAGAAAGAGACCAATTAATTAAAAAAATGATAGAGAGATTAGTGAAGGTTAAGTTGACAAGAGAAAAATTATGAAAAAAAGAATATGAATATGGTCTGATCTTTGTTGGAAAACAAAAACATAAAGACGTATTTAGCTAAATATGAATACGTAAAAGAAACATTTAATTAGGGTTTATATATTTTAAAATATTAAAATTTTAATATGATTATTTTTTGAAATTATAAAATTTTAATTTTAAACACTATGTAAAATAAAAATTTATGTTATTGAATTGTGAGTTGATTTAATAATTTGAGACCGCGTCGCTCTCATTGACGGAGTGAGGGGGAGCCGTCGGTGGCCCTCAACCCGCTAACCAAAATTTTTTTTAAGGATTTTATAAAATTTAAAATTTTCTTATTTTACTTTTTAAAATAGTAAATTTTTTAATCTTTTCCACCTTAACACTTGAAATATTTTTAAATCCATAATTTTAATTTCTGACACCGTTACTTGTTAGATTTTAGAGAGGAAACGACACTCATAAGTCATTATGGTATCATTTAATCCTAGAAGTGAAGAAAGGAAGATGACAAAAACAAGATAACAAAAACAAATAACACAATCAACTTTTATTTGAGGGTGGGCACATGTCTACACTCGGCTAGTGTACCTCTTTGCTTCTCGCAGTTGGACTTTCATGGCTGCGTTCACATTAATTTTTAAATAATTTTTATCGTGTTAAACATTATTTGAAAAATTATTTTTATAAATTATAATAGTATTTTATATAAAATTAATTTACGTAACAATTAATTTTTAGCGTTTTATAAAAAAATATTTAAAAAAAACTAACAATTAATGGTTTTTAAAACAGCTAGGCACCGTCAAAACAGCAAATTATCGTTCAAAACTTTTGATTTGACATCACTTTCTGTTCCATAGTTTCCTTTCGGTTTTCAACTATAGTTATAGCTAAGGAAATCCAGGTACCCATCCCTCTACTTTTTTTTTTGTCCCTACGAAGGGTGAAGAAAAGACTCTCTTAGCTTTTATCATTAATTATGTTTTTTTCGTTTAAAGAGTCTGCTCTTAGTATCTGAATTAATATTTTCTAATATATAAAATTCAACCAGCATGTTAATTATTTTATTAGGATATGTTACTTATGATGCTGGTTGAGTTTCATATATTCATTTGTCTTTATATATTTAATATTTTATTTATATATAATATCAAATATGTCTTTATATATAAATAATTAACATGTCTTTCTATATATTTACACCCTTACAGGTAAACTCAACCAGCATGTTATTTACTTTCATATATAAGCATGCTGGTTGAGTGTCAAATATATAAAGGCGTATCATTTAATTAAAAAGTTATATATATGATAATGAAATTTACTAATCACAAACTTGGAATTTTAAAAATTATTAATAATAATCACTTTGTTTTAATTTCACCTGACTGTTCTATCTTTCCATTAAGACTTTCTGTTAAATAATCTTAAATATCAATTTTATCCTTAATACATTTAACTTTTTTATTTATTATTATTATTTTTTTGGTTGCCACTTGAGAGAGAAATCCTTCCCTCTTAAACCTAATTATCTTCCCCTCAAAATAAATAAATAAATAAACTACACTTTTGTCCTTTCCTCCACGAAAGGTCAAGAACGGACTTGCTTTACAGTCTGCCACTGGAAACCGGCCAACAGTAATTTTTGGATTGAAGGTAGAGGCCAAAAATGGTTGAGTTCATATAATAATAATTAACTACACCCTTATATGTCTTTATATATTTGATATATTTTATAGGATATGATGATCTAACTACACTAAAACAAGATGAAATATTCAAAATTGAATATTATATTCGTATTTTTTATAATTTTATGCTTAACGCGAATTTTAAATTTTAAATTATTTGAAAGATTACTTATTCAAATAAATTTTTTAAATGTTTTCATAAAATGATATTTAAATATCTGGTCCACATCCTTGACTTTTGGGACGGATATGGATTCATTCATGTTGATTCTCTTTTAGTTTTCAGTGCTTTAAAGTCTAAATCATTAGATTTATTTTATTTGGTATTGTTATCTGGGATTGTAAGTCCATTTTGGACACTAAGCAAAATTTTTAAGATCATTTGATTCCGTTGACAGATGAATATGAACGCTTATATTCTTATTAGAGAATCTTATCATTTTGCTTGTACATAGATTTAAAACAGTATCCCTGATTGTCTTCGGGATTTTTTTCTTGACTGAATGAATATTTTTTACTCTTTAAAAAAAAAAAACTAATACTAGTATGTAAATTATACAAATGATCGAAAGTGAATTGTAGTGACATGAGTTTGAGATTGCAACCACACTAACTTATTTTTTTGAGAAATTTAACTATTTCTCAAATATTATGTTTTTAAAGACGTGATGAAACAATATTCCTCGAGATATATATATATATATACTAAAAAATATTTCTCTTATTTTGGTTTCAATATTAAATTAATTAATCCTACCAAAAAAATATTAATATACAAATACTATCAAAATATTTCATATTTTTAAAATATTTATTATTATATATGAATAAGAAATTTATAAAATGTTAAATTGTGATGTTCACCTGGTGGTAGATCAAATAAGTATGTATTTCAGATTTTTTTTTTTTTTTTTAAATCAAATTAAGTAATGATATTTCAGATTTTTTTTTTTTTTTTTTTTACATATAATCTTTCGTCAAAAGTTTAGAAATTGGTGTTTCTCCCCTTCACAGCAAAAAAAAAAAAAAAAGTTTAATTTACTTTGTAACAGCAGTAGTTTTTTTCTTTAATTAATATTTTTTCCACTAATCAATTTTTTTCTTTGTAAAATCGGAAAAAAAAAAAAAAAAAAAAAGTTATTTTACTTTTGTAACAGCAGTAGTTTTTTCTTTAATTAATATTTTTTCACTAATTAATTTTTTTCTTTGTAAAATCGGAAATAAAATATTTCTTGATAAGAAAAACAACCTTAAATTATTTCAATTTCACTGCTACACTAAGACGTCTCATTTCAATAGAATTATATATATATAAAATAAAAAAAAAATCATGGATTTGAAAAATAATGCAAACGGGAAAGCTTTAAATAAGAATAAGAGATCAACAGAGAATGTATAGTTTGATCCATACCTTGCCGTGCTCTGGCTCGGAGGGGTCAAGATAAACGGAGGTTCTAATATTACCGGTGAACTTAAGACTCGGCATGAAATCGCCGACCAGCACATTTTTCTTCTCCACAACCTCCATATCAAAAAGATGAGAAAAAGACTTGCAATCGAGAACCGCCACAACGTTCGGATTCACATCGGTGAAGAAAGGAAATGTTGGCGGCACATTTGTACGGAAAACCGTCGACTTGTACTTTTCAATCCGTTTTTTGAAGAAAGTTTCCGGTCCCTGAAACCAGGAGTAGTCTAGCCGGTCTGAGATTGGTCCGAGCAATGGCCAACCGTAGGAGCCAGGAATTTTACGGAGAGGGAGCGAAGGAGACGGCGAAGATTGAGTGGAGATTGTTTGTGGCGGTGAAAAGGAAGAGGAGGAGGAGGGGAAGGAGGGGGACGTTCCTGGAGGGACGTTCATCATTTTGGTCATAACGGTGGCCATGGTGACTGTGGTAGAGTAACTGGATCTTTATGAATATATATGTGATTTTTGTTTAAAAAAAAAAGAATTTGTAAGTGTTTTATGAGTGCAATAATGCAATAATAAAGATGGGTAGCACGAAGTTGGATTGGAGTGATAATATTTTAATAAATAAAAAAAAGTGTGGTATGGACCACATAAAATCGGGAAGAGACACTCATATGGAACAAAACAAGTTCCAAATCATTTCATTTCTTAACACTTGTGTATAAGAGAATGGTGAAAGTTTATTTAATAGATAACTTTGTACTTAGTTTTGCAATTAACTTTTCATTTTCTAATTACAGGTTTGCGACTTCTTTTTTGTTTACTGTTATTTTTCTTAAGTTCTTGAATTTCTCTCTTTAATTAATTCATTTCATTTTCATATAAAATTTTTACTTGGCTATTAATTAATTTATTAATAATTATTTAGCAAATTTCATTAAATCTTTCTAATAACTCATGTCAATATCAATCTCATTCGAATTAATTAGTTGCTTGATTAATTCTTTTTTTAAAGATATTTAACACAATTATGAAAAATAAGCTTCTAATTATTTATTATATTTTTATTCAATGTAGGAATGTTATTTGATTAGTAAAAAGTAAATATAAATGTATAAGATTAATTCGTCTGCTTAATTCTTTTTTTTTTTAAGAATTTTTATTCAATTATAAAACAAGCTTGATAAATTATATTAAGAAAGATATTTTTTATAAAATTGATAATAATATGGTATGAAGACAAGTAGAGAATAACTATAATTTTATTTTATTTTATAATTTTTATTAATATAAATTATATTATATTTCATATTAATTAGCTAATTTATTAGAATTTGCTTCTGCACCGTAAGTCATTTTAATTCTTATGGAAAAATATCAAAAGTTTCCGCCTTTGATTGTAAATTTTGGCTTTATCCCTAAAGGTAAAGACAAAGATCCGGTATTTCAGATATCATTTTCATCTATTCATATTTAGTTAACCTTTAAATAAATTGTGTGTTCTAATTTTAACTATAATTTTAATAAGTGTCCGGAATTCTCACATTATAATTATATTAAAGAATCAAAGGTTAAATTGATCTCAAATATTAAATATAATATTTTAATCATTTTAAATAGACATAATGATATATTTAGTTTTTAAATTTTGTATATTTTTCTATTTCGGTGTAATAAAATTATGACACGACTGTTAAATTTTTTAAATTTGCAATTGAGTTTTAAAGGCTGATTCGCTCGACCTGATTTTTGACAGTGATGAAGTGGGGTCCAAAATTGCATCGCTGGCAACCGATATGGACTAAAATGCTACCACATCAGTGGGACACGAAGTCCACATAGATATGCTGAAAATCCCAATTTTGCCCTTCAATAAATGTTGCAGATGAATCAATACAATCCTAATTCATCTCCTTCCTCTCGCTCGCGCCCTAAATCTCGTCTTTCTACCTACCTTCCACTAACACTTCAACTGCCTCTCTACTACTAGATTATTTAATAATCTATATGTGGATCATATAATTAAATGGATAGTTCGAATTAAGATGGTCTAAGATAATGGTTATTGAGCCTAATGGGTAAGGACCAATTAGGATTTTAATACTGTTCCTCTGCCTTATAAGACATTAAGGAAATCAACAGCGTAGGTTAAGAGAGGGTGATGGCTACCTCAAACACATACAGTGATAGGTTGTTTGAGAGAGTGTGAAAGAAAACTCTATGAAAAGAAACTCCCGTAGCTGTTGATAATTCTCTGACCATTAAGACAAAACTTACGGACAAAAGGCCAGAGCAAAGAAATATAGATCTGCTATTACGGTAAGAACCGAATTGCCGCAACGAGGTAATCCATAACATAGATCTGCTGTTGTGGATCAAGGTACACTTCCGATTATTGTATATTCCTGTCAAACAAATTCTATGAACAATAGATCTAGACTATATTAAAGTTTATTCAACATGTGGTATCAGGCTGTTGTGGATCTAAAGGTCACTTTCCGAATTATTGTAATATTCCTGGGTACAAACAAAATTCTATGAACATAGGATTCTAGAACCTATATTAAAGTATTAATTTCACATGTTTGGGTATCAGAAGCACTTTGTACCTGTTCTAGAATTTGTTTGATAAAATTTGTTTTGTTTGGCTTAATTAATGAAAATTAAATTTCGTATTGTGTAAGTTGATTAATCTGGTATAGCACAAAGCCAAAATTATAGAAATTTGAAAAAATGTTCCTGTTTTCTTTAATGCTTTTATTAAATTATTTTGGCTATTAATTATAATAAGAGAAAGGTTATGACAGTCTTATTGTGTTATGTCGTTAAATGTTTTGAAAATCTTAATTCAAATCTCAAATAAAAAGTTTTGCATAAATCAAATGTTTAATGAGATGGGAAAAACTTATTAGTCCATGTCAAAGTGGCCTTGTTTGGATTAGTTTAGACATTGGATATGCCAGGCTTTCAAAGTTGTTCATGTTTGTGTGAATGCCTTAAAATGACATGAACAAGTTAAAAATTGAACATTGACATCATTCGATTATAATTTATTAGGTTAGCCCAGGTAGACCATTAAATTATAATCAAATGGCATTAAAAGGACTTATCATTGGTTTATTAATATGAATCGTATATCCAAAGATAACATGCATAATTGTATGGAGCATGTATTGAATAGGTTAAAAAAAAAAGTATTGGATTCCATAAAGAGCACGGGCGGTGCTGTAGATGTAGCATTGGCGTGCCTTGACTTCCAGAGGAAGATGCACGCGGAATGGTGCCTGTAATGGTAGCACAGGCGAGGGGGGGGGGGGGGGGGGGGGGGGGGGGGGGGGGGGGGGGGGGGGGGGGGGGGGGGGGGGGGGCGGGTGTTGGGGGGGGGGGGGGGGGGGGGCGGGGGGGGGGGGGGGGGGGGGGGGGGGGGGGGGGGGGGGGGGGGGGGGGGAGGGGGGGGGGGGGGGGGGGGGGGTGGGGGGGGGGGGGGGGGGGGTGGGGGGGGGGGGGGGGGGGGGGGCCTGACTTCCAAGAGAGAACCACGGGGCGTGCCCTGTAGTGAAGCACGGGCCGTCGCTTCTCGTCTGACTTGCATTATAAAGGTTCGCAAGTTGCTTCCACATCAATGAAAGTCTGTTAAAGTTTTTTTTTTTTCTTGGCAATCATTATTTGTTAAAGCTATGGCATTTAAAGTATTACCCAAGGTGAATCTAGTGCATAATTAAGGTTGTTATTTTGTTTGAATCCAGTTTTTAATGTTTACTCAAAGCATTAACGTGTGCGTATATGTTATAGATGTTTGCACGCTTTCCTTTTTAAACATGTTGCTTTAGTGAGGCACTGGGTTGATTCAGGTCAATGATTGAACTATGCTGATTGGTCCGAACAATCATTATCAGTTAAGAGTTCTGGACTTGGAATTTTGGCATTAAGTCCTCTGAAAAGCCCAGCAGCCATTACAGAGACCAGCACTGAAGCTGACAAATCCCCATTATAGGCTTGGCGAGTATTAGACAGGCTGAGTTTGAACTTAATGAGAATGAGGATGACAATAGCTGAAAATGTTAAGCCATCAATGCCTAGAACAGACAATGCTAGAGAGTACATGCTGAAAATTAAGGAATACTCCCAATCGGAAATAGTTGACAAGTCCATTGTAGGATTCTTGATGAGTGAGCTAACGACCAAGGAGTTCGATTGGTCATAATCGATTCATGATCATGTGACTGGCATGCAGAATTTGGCAGTCAAACTGAAATCAATGGGAATTGATGTGAGTGAATCATTTTTTAGTTCAATTTATTATTAGCTCACTTGCTCTTGAGTTTGGTCAGTTCCAGGTGAATTACAACACCCTCAAGGAAAAATGGAACATTCAAAAATCAAGGCCATGTTAATACAAGAGAAAGGGAGATTAAAGAAATTAAGAGAAAGGGAGATTAAAGAAATTGAAGGAACACTCTATCAATCTCACATTTCATAATGGAGCTAGTAGCAGCAACAATAAATCAGGGAAGAGAGATAAGAAAAGGGACAATGCCCTAATGAAGGTTAATGAGGGCGAAATCCGTAAGGAGTTGAAGTGCTACTTCTGTAGGAAGAATGGTCACTTCAAAAAGGACTGTCCTAAAAGGAAGATTTGGTTTGAAAAGAAAGGTATACTTTATGTTTCAGTATGTTTTGAATCAAATCTTATTGAAATGCCTAATAATACCTGGTGGTTAGATTTGGTTAGATTATGGTGTAACTACTTTCATATATCTCATATGATACAGGGATTCCTTACGATCCCAACCCATAAATGAAACTTTTGAAAAAGTTCCTATACATTTGGGAAAACAGAATGAAGGCACGAATAGAAGAATCTGAGACTTATAGATTTGGATCCTGGACACGGTTGTTATCTGGATCTTGAAAAGTATCTCTATATTCATTGAATGTGCTAGAAAATTTAGTTTCTGTACGGAGGTTGGATCAATGTTGGTTTCAAGTTTTAAGATTTGTAATAGTGTCTTTTTTCATTATATAAACATAAAGTACTATTATGGTTCTTTAGTACTTTGGATTGATGGTTGTACGTTTTAAATCTTGATGCTTAATTTTTTTGAATCCATGTTTAATGATGAACACAATATAGGTAATAAACGTTAATGCCACATGAACACAATATAGGTAATAAACGTAATGCACATAATGAATGTTCTGCTTTCTTATGGCATCAAAGGTTAGGTCACATATCCAAAGAAAGGATTTTGAGTTTAGTAAAAGGTGAAATCTTACCTCAATTGGACTTACTGACTGGGACATGTGTATAGATTGCATCAAAGGTAAGCAAACTAGGCACACATTAAAAAATCCAGCCACAAGAAGCAGTGAATTGCTTGAACTTATACACACTGATATATGTGGTCCTTTTGATGTTCCTCTTGGAGTGGTGAAAAATATTTTATTACCTTTATCGATGATTTTCTCACGGTACGATTATGTATATTTGCTCATGAAAAGTCTCAATCAGTGGATATCCTTGAGATATTCATTAATGAGGT